AAAACCTTTTATCTATGGAATTTTCATTGATAAAAATTTTACATGTTACCTATGAAAAATTCATTAGTAATTATCAGTGACCTTTAAATTAGCAACAGATTTGTGGTGGAAAATTTTTGTTGGTGAAGACGAATATTAACGGATATCGTGGCTTCAAGAACAGAAAATTTGTGCCTGAAGCCACTTTTTTTGCACTTAGTAAAAATTTGGAAAACATAAATTCGAAAAGAAAATTTAAAAGGAATAAAAGCTAGTGCATAAAACAAAATAAGCATAACAAATTTGAAAAAAAGAAAGTACGTAAAATAGAAGACGCATGCATGAACATGCATTAAATGTTTATTTGAGGGAATTCAAATTTTAGCAAGAATTATTAACATAGTCGAGTCTTAGAAATTGAAGCAATCAAAATATAGGATAATCTATATTTGTTGAAGTGCTGACTAGCATTGGAGAAAATCCGATCAAACTATGGAGAAGGAAATGAGTTGGTAGTACAATTTCAACTTTAGAATACACCATGAAAGAGAGTTTAAGGAACAAGATTGGAATTGTAAATCTTACGAATGAATAAAGGATATATTTTATCATTGAAGATCGAGAACCGAATATATATTTATAATGTTTGACTTAATTTTTCACACACTCATATTGATTTAACATTGAATAAGTCACAATTGGTCTTGGTATCATGATTTTGAAGCTCTTTATAGGTTATTCATGAAATTCCAAAACATAAAGTGAAATCGTAAGCTATCTAACTATTTGATGTTTTGCATGTTTGTTTGTTGAGGCAAGCACATGATTTTGTTCGAGAATGAACAAATATTTAAGTTTGCAGGTATTTGAAAAGTGTATTTTGTACATTTACTTAGACCATTAGATATGGAGATTTGGGAGTACTTATAAAAAATTATTGCTTAATCTCGTATAAATATTGTTTGTTTAGGTAAAACTCACTGTTAGACGAGCTCTTGGAGAAAATGAACGAAAATCGAAAAAAAAAAAAAGGTGTTTTCGGCTTAATTCTACGAAGGGAACCAACTTGATTTAAATTGGAAGATCAAGGGCTTGAATTGCAATTACAGGGGGCCTTAATTGAGCAGAGGAATGGAATTAAGGAACAAATTGCAAATGGTGGAAAAAGGCAATACCTTACGATTGCAAGTTATAAAAACCTTTGCAGTCGCAAGAGCTTAATGTGTCATTGAAGTGAATTATACGAGATGCAATTGTGCTGAATACACCATGTGATCACATGGTTTTATTTCAGAGAAAGATTTTGTTTCCTTTTTTTTTTACTTCGTCCAGCATTTGGAATGAAATTGTCTAATAATTTGTAGGTGGAGACGAAGGTTAAAGAAGAAATTCAAGGCAAATTTATCAAAAGTTGAAAATTGAAACTCAGAATAGAAGATTAAAAGCAAAATAATAATTGGGAATCAATTTAAGGCTCGTTTGAAGTAATTCAAGGAGACGAATTGATTCTAATTCTTCTTCTTGAAAACATTTTTTTTTTCTGGATGATGAATATTAATATTTCTTATTGTAATTTCATCATAAGTATGCTAGGCTAAACTTGTGAGTGCTGGAATGAGGACAAAAACTATGGTTTTACCGTTTATTTCAAAGAACATTTCTTTTAATATGATTTGTATCACATGATTATGGTTTATTTAAATGCTTGATTATCATTTAGATAACAAGTTGCTTATTTATTTCCAGGTGATTGGAGATAGAATTAGAATATTATGATAATCAACATATGGTTTAATAAACGTTAGAAATAATTGTTTTGTGACTTATGCGATCAAAATAGGCATTCATGCAATTTAATGCGTTTCTAAGCATTTGAACTCGAAATAGGGATATGTTCGATTGTGTTTAGAATTTGATTTAGCTTACTCGGGAGAAATAGTTGAATAAAATTGGATTATCGGTTGTTAATTTACACATAAATTAGACTAGAGAAATATAGGTCAAGAATTCGAACGGAAGAACATTTGGTGGAGTCGGATTCCAACACATTTTTCTCATAAAAGATTTCTAAAAATCATTCTTCACGTGCATTTAGGTAGAATTTAGAATAGATATTAGTAGATAATACACAAACATCATTTCATTCTTGTGATTCGATTAAATTCGAGTTTCATTTCAAATAAATACAATTCAACTTAAAATCAATTATTCGTAGGAACGATACTTTTAACTCACTAAAACTGTTACTTGTTAACATTCACGTACACATGCGGAACTTCGTCAAACACATATCACACTTAGCGAGGATTGTTGCTTGGAAAAATCAGATCAGTATGTAAACTATCTTGTCCTGAAGTAGTAAATTCTTGACTTGCCATTGTGATATCATACAGGTCTGATTGTTCACTCAACAATGCAATATTTTCTTCTGCATATCTCTGTTGAATCCAAGGATGTCTTGTAAATTTCCTCAATCCTTCCAACTCCATTGTCACTTCTTTCATTGTTGGTCTTTTATCACCCTTCAAGTTTAGGCATCTTTTCACTAACTCCCCAATGGCTTGCAGTTGTTCAAAACTAGCTTCCCTCAAAATACGGGCCTCGAGAATTTGAAATAATCTGTTTTCTTTAACAGACGCGATAAAATATGTAGCCAAATTCTTCTCTTCTCCAGATTTTGTAGGTGAAAGAGGTTTCTTTCTTGTCACAAGTTCGGCAAGAACCACCCCAAAGCTATAAACATCACTTTTTTCAGTTAATTGGCTGGTTTGGAAGTACTCAGGATCCAAATAACCTAAGGTTCCTTGAACCAATGTTGTTACTTGCATTTGATCTAAGGGAACCAATCTCGACGCTCCGAAATCTGATATTTTAGCTGTATATGTGTCGTCTAACAATATGTTGCTTGGACTTGACATCTCGATGAATAATAGGCATAGAAGCTGAAGAATGAAGATAAGCTAATGCACCAGCAGCTTCAGCAGCAATTTTCAGTCTATTTACCCAAGAAAACCAAGGCAATTCACCATTATCATGTATATGGTGAAAAAGTGCACCATTTGAAACATATTCATATACCAGAAGAGGAACTTC